TTCGAATGTTGGTACCCTTAAAGTTATCCCAGAGGCTCCTTACACTATCTTCTTATTTTTGTATTCTTTTTTTCTTTTTACTCTTCTGATTGGTTTTTTTTTGCCTCCTCATATTCCAAATCATTGATTTGATTCTTTGAATCCTCTACTGTTGAATCCCTGTAAATTATTCTTTATTTCAGTTAGTGTATGCTTAATTTCTGACTGTTCCTTTTTCATGTCTTTGACATTCTCACTAAGATCCTTGAAAGTCTCCATAAGTCCCTTGGCACTCTCGTTAATTCCTTTACAGCTCTCATTAAGATCCTTGAAAAACTTTATAAGCGTTGTTTTGTACTCTGTATCCAGTAGTTTGCTTGCTTCCATTTCTTTCAGTTGTGACATAATTCTTTGTCTCTGCATTTTGGCTGCCTCCCTGTGTTTGTTCCTATATATTAGGTAGAACTGTTATGTCTCCTGGAATGGTGTCTTGTAGGGCCACTGACCCTGCCTCCCTAGTCACCTGAGCTGGGCATTCTATGTGTGCCCCTGTGTGAGCTGTGTGCACAATCTTATTGTAGTTTAGCCTTGATTGCTGTTGGCTTCACTGGGAGGAATTTACCTCCAGTGAAGAACCAGCTGTGACTACTTGGAAGACCTGCTATGCAGGAGACACTCCTGTGGAGTAAGAATTGCTTCAGGGGGGCTTTGGTGCTCACTGAGTCTGCCCCTTGAGTGTGTCACTTGTGGATGTGTAGAGTTGTAATCTGGAATGGTTTGAAGTTGTTCACTGAATGTACTGGCTCTGGGGCCTCCCAGGAGGTACAGACTCAACCACTGCCTGGAGCCACCTGGCAAGAGCTACAGATAGATCTGCAGATGGCTGCTACTTATATTGGGCTAGGAAGTAGCAGGAGAGGCCCAGATGTGAAGCAAGGCATGCTGGTGCTAGAGCCAGGTCTCAGGCCTTTTATTGATAGTTTTGACACCAGCTGCTGCTTATTTGAAATATTTTAGCAAAGTCTGAAGCTTGAGCCAGGACAAGCCATTGATATGGTAAAGCAGCTGCATACAGTTTTGGTGGGGCTGCAAATTGGATGGGACAGGGTCTCAAGGATTCATCAGGGCTGAGTGAATAGTGTGGGCCAAGCTGACAGAAACTCAGATATGTCTGCCAGTCTGCTCTGTTGTGGGGGGAGGTCCCAGCACAAAAACAATGACCCCTGCAAGTACCCCTATCTGGGAGAAAGTCACCCCCAAGTTCCTGCCCCAATGCCAGATAATCCAGTTCCTCCTGTATGTCCCTGGATTCCCCAAAAGTAGCCACCTGGCACTGGAGCTCAGAGGAAGTGGGATGGTGTACTAGTAAGTACTAGGGCCCTTTAAGGGGAACCCCTGGGACTCCAGCACTTTACATATCACTCAGCCACAATCCCCACTGGTTTTTATAGTCCAAAGTTACGGGGACTTCTCTTCTCAGATCTGGGAACCTGGGCTAGGGTTCTGGTGTAGGGCTGGGCCCCCTTGCTTCCCATGGGAGGCCTTGAAGATATCCCTTCAGATTAATAAAATGCCACACTTGGGTGCTGGACCAGTCTGTTTCACACCTCCACCCCTCCTGCCAGTCTCAATGTGCTTTCTTCTTTTATTTTTTTAAAAATATATTTTAATTGATTTTTAGAGAGGAAGGAAAAGGGAGAGAGAAACATCAATGATGAGAGGGAATCATTGATTGGCTGCCTCCTGCACAGCCCCTACTGGGGGTCAAGCCAGAAACTCAGGCATGTGCCCTTGGCCAGAATCGAACCTGGGATCCTTCATTCCGCAGGCTGACACTCTATCCACTGAGCCAAACCAGCTAGGGCATGTGCTCTCTTCCTTATTTCTCTTCGGACTTCGATTCAGACAGATTTCAGGTGGTTCTGAATAGTGATTGTTCTGTATTTCAGTTGTAATTTTTATGTGGTTGTGGGAGGCGGCAAGTATAGGCCACTATCTTAGTTCCTAAGCCAAGATCTGTGATATATCTGTGATATATCTGTGAGCCTTCCTGCAGATGAGCCTTTTTCAGATGAAAAATTGGTCCTACCTGTACAACTCAGTGAATGAGAAGTGATGTAAGATGCATTCATCTGAAGGAATGTTAGATGTTAAACACATACTTACAAGAGCTATTACCGTAGCAGAGTGCTTACAAAATAGTGTTGGTGAATGCAAAAAGCAGGGTATAGAATTATATATTACACTAGTTAGAGCTGCATTGAAATAGTAACTTGAAATGAAAACTAAACGAGATACTGGTTTTCACCAAAAGAATTGGCAGGGACCAGCAAAAGGAAACAGTGCTGGCTGGGTGTGTGAGACCAGTACACCGCACACAGCAGGACTGCGGGCTGCGGTAGCCATCTTGGCAAGCATTTTGGCACTATGTATCATGAGCCCTTTAGAGTGAAATGTTTTTGGGTTTTTTTTAAATATATATAAATATATATTTTATTGTTTTTTTAGAGAGGGAGAGAGAGTTAAAAACATCGATGAGAGAGAAACATTGATCAGCTGTCTCCTGTACACCCTCCACTGGGGATGTGCCCTCAACCAAAGTACATGCTCTTGACCGGAATCAAACCTGGGAACCTTCAGTCCGCAAGCCGACCGACCCTCTGTCCACTAAGCCAAACCAGTTAGGACATGTTTTATTCTTATAATCTCAATTTTAAGGATCTTCCCTGAGCAGTTAAAAAGAGAAAAACAGATAAAAGACTTTTTTCTAATTATAGTATTATTTAAAATCACAGTATATTGATGTTCAGTGATAGGGAAATGGTTATAATAAACTGCCATTAAAAGTGTTTTTTAAATTTATTTTTTGGTGTTAATCCTCAGCTGAGGATATTTTTTCCATTGATTTTTAGAGAAAATGGAAAGGAGGGAGGGGGTAAGAGAGAGAATTCGATGTCAGAGAGACATATTGATTGGTTGCCTCCAGCATTCACCCAACCAAGGGCCAGAGATTAAACCTGCAACCCAGACAGGTCTCCTTGACCTGTAATCGACCCTGTGACTGGTGTTTAGTCCAATGCTCTAACCACTGAACACACCAGCCAGGGCAAATGCTTTTTTGTTTTTTGTTTTATTTTATAATGTGGAAGAATGCTCAAGAGGCAGTATGAAGTAAAAAAACAAAACAAGACAAAAACACTATAACAATGATAGTAATAATGAAAGGGAACTCTTAATAGCATGTATTATGTGCCAGGTATTATTCAATTACTTTACATTTTAATTCTCACAACAGACTGTGAGATAGGTACTCTTTATTATCTCGCCATTGTAGATGAGGGAAATGGGGCACAGAAAGGTTCAGTAACATGCCCAAGGCCTCACAGCTCATTAGAGGGCAGTGATGTGATTGGAGTCCAGCATATTAGCAGCAGCGTCCATGTTCCCAACCCCAACTTTGACTCTGAGAGCCTCTCAAGATTTGGAGCACCTTAAAGCACGATCCAGTTAGTCGTTCATATACAGTATCTTTTTTAAATAGGAGGAAAGGAAGAGCAAATGCATTAAGGTATTGAGAAGGGTAATTTTTGGTTTAGAAGATCATGGGAAATTACATTATACTTTTCTCCATTTTCCCAATGTTAAGCAATGATCTTTTAATGTAAGAGAAAAAAATAATAAAGGATTTTAAAACATGTGTCAAGAGGACAAATAGAAGATGGATTGACTCCATGAAAGAAGCCGTAGGCCTGAGTGTGCCTGGACCGGACAGTATGGATAGACAGAGCCAAGTCCGTGGTATGTAATGCATATTTTAAAAGAGAAAATAGTCCTGGTCAGTGTGCTTAGTGGTTAAAGCATCGGTGTAACCAGTCAACGTATCTCACAGTGATGTCTCTCTCTTTTCCCCCTCCCTCCCTCTCTCTCTCTAAAAAGAAATCAATGAAAAAAAATATCCTCCAGAGAGGATTAACAAAAGAATAATAATTTTAAAAAATAGACTGAAAAGTTGATAGTGATTGTGATAAGTTTTTCTTTTTCTAAAAGTGGTATTTTCTGTTATATAGATATTAGAGGCCGGGTGCATGAATTTAATCATGGTGGGATTTCTCGGTCTGGCTGGTGATTGGGGCTGATCAGGGCTGGCCGGCAGGGGGAGGGGCTGTGGGAAGTTGGCCAGCCCTGGGAGGTTGGCTGTGGGAGCACACTGACCACCAGGAGGCAGCTCCTGCATTGAACATCTCTCCCTGGTGGTCAGTGCGTGTCATAGTGACCAGTCAACCAGTTGTTTGGTCGCTTAGGCTTTTATATATATAGATGTTACCCGTATGAAATTTTAAAAATAAATACCTGATTACAAGCCAACCGTCCTGGTAATTCTGCAAGTTTAACGCTCAGGTTGATTTTTGCAGGAGAGGAGGCTGCTGGCTGGGCTTCAGGCTCTTACCGGCAAGCTGAGGAGGCCCATGGGAACAGGAGGAAATCTCTGGCCTTCATTCTCTGGTGGGCGGTGCCAGGTGGTTACTGTTAGCTCTTCAGTTTTCAGATTTCTTACCTATTTTCTGCATGAGCATTTGCACGGTATTTTCTTTTTGTTGTTGTTAATCCTCACCTGAGGATATTTTTCCATTGATTTTTTAGAGTGGAAGGGAGAGACAGAGACAGAGAGAAACACCTGTGTGAGAAAGACACATTGATTGGTTGCCTCTCGCATGTGCCCCGACCAGGGCCAGGATCTAACCTGCATCCGAGGTGTGTGCCCAAGGCTGGATTCGAGCCTGGAACCCTTTAGTCCGTGGGCTGATGCTCTATCCACTGAGCCAGACCAGCCATGGCTATACAGTATTTTAAGCATATAAAGTGTGTTTGCATTACTCTTATAAGAAAATGTATTTATAATATATGTTTTGAAAATGTTGACAAACATTACTCTTGTTTCCTTCTGCATTTTCTCAGAAGTGAGGAGGTTATAAAGCTTTCGTTGCTTCCCGGGGTCCTGATGGCTTCTGTTGCCTCCGCAGGAAGGAAGCGGGAGTGGTTTAAGGTGGAAGAGGCCATCAAGGTGCTGCAGTACCACAAGCCTGTGCAGGCCTCGTATCTTGAGACGTTGCGGCAAGGCTACTCCGCCAACAACGGCACCCCGGTCATGGCCACCACATGCGCGGTGTCTTCTTCGCAGAACTTCACGGGCATCAGATGACTGAAGACCCGGAAGGGGTGGGAATTGGAAACCAGACTGAAGTGCAGACCTTCCCTGTCCCCTTGCTCTCCTCCCCTCCTCACAGCCTCCTCTCGGGCATGGCAGCAGAGAAAGGGCTGGCGATAATGTTGCTGTTTGGTGTTCCGTGATGGGGCTTTTCTTAGTTGGGTGGGGTAATTGTAAGCCCTTTTGTGCATGATCCGCCCTCCCTGTTCACATCCTACATTCTTAGAGGCACAGCCATCCTCTGCCTCGACTCTGAAGGGTTCCGTCTGCCACATCTTGGCCCTGACCAGCTCTCTTATTCGATTTTTAATTTTTTTATTTTATTAAAAGATACCAATACGAGATGAAATCTTTGAAGAATGTGCTCTGTAATGTGCTCTTCTGCCTAGTGGTTGGTCCCTTTCACTGCAGGTGCATTTACCTACACATTACATCCTGGGCACGTAATCTGTAAATAAGTGACTTAGAAGAGGAATTTAACTCTTTAAAATTTTCAAGGTTTTGTTTTGTTTTTCATTTTGGGCGTTCTGACACAGAGCCTCACAATTTGTTTTCTTTTGATGTTAGTGACTAGACCAGCTCCCTGCCCTCCTCCTCCAGTCAAGACTGCAGTGTGTGGCCGGGAGCACAGCTGGTGCCTGGCCTTTCTCCTCCGGCTGTGCCCAGCCCAGGAGGAACTGGGAAGACGCCTGTTCCTTGTTAGAACCAAGCCAGGAGCGATGGCCTCCGCTCACATCCAGTAGGAGTGCTAGAGATGGAATTCCTCCCTGCGTGCTGACAATAGGGATTTGAACTGGGTTCCTGGGATTACTTTCTATTATAAAAGCGAGCGTCGAGCACTGCTCCTGTCCTGCTGGAGTTTTTCCGTGATGCCGCTTCTCACCACAGCAGCCTCCCGTGCGTCCACGTGGCCAGCCCTCAGCCGTGCAGCCCTTCCCCGCCTCCGGAAACATGCGCAGGAGGGCGGTCCGGGTGTTCGCCTTTCTGAGGTTCCAGCACTGGCCAGTGCACCATGCGCATCTCAGAAGCACTGACGTGTCCCGGGGAGGAAAAGCCGCCGTGTGGCTGAGTGTGTAACACTGGCTGGGACAGGACACAGGCATTGGCTCCCTGCACGCTGTCCGGTGGTCAGGTTCTGACAGGTCTCCTGCTGGCTGCACTTGTGTTGTCTCGTTGAGAAGTCAGGGTCTTAAAATCGAGTCAGAGGGGGAGGGGCACTGATCAGCCCTGGCTTGGGGAAGGAGTTAGTTGCTATACCCTCAGTGGCATCTCCTTTGTCAAAGCATAGCCAAGATGTGAAATTAGAATCGTAGTTCTCTTTATTTAAGAATTCTAATAAATACTCAAACTTTGCAAAGCTTTTGCTCTTCCCTCCCATTAGAAGAATCTAATGTATCTGTTTGGCCTGTGTCATATAGTTTTCAGCATTGGGGGTGTCACCTGGTGAATTTAAATTTTGCTATATATATATTGATTTTTGCTATACTAAAATCTATATATATATATATATATATATATATATATATATATATATATATATATAGATTTTTTACAGAGAGGAAGGGAGAGGGAGAGAGAGAAACATCAATGAGTGAGAGAGAAACATCGATCAGCTGCCTCCTGCACACCCCCTGCTGGGGATGTGCCCGCAACCAAGGTACATGCCCTTGACCTGAATCGAACCTGGGACCCTTGAGTCCTCAGGCTGACTATCCACTGAGCCAAACCAGTCAGGGCTTCTCTCCAAGTCTTAAACACAGACCCGTCAGCAGTGCCAGCAGTTTCCTTCGTATCATCCCCTCTCGGAAAGGAATTCTATCCCCAAGGAAAGGTCCCAGTGGACAGCAGCATGGAATGTGTCTAACGCCACTCACTGGTCTCCACCTACCTGAAGACGGACACACTGTGCCTGGCGGCGCTGAAGGTCCCGGAGACACCTGCAGGGACAGGAAATGAGCTCAGCTAAGCGCTCCGTGGAACCCAGACGCACCTCTTCCCATGCTTCCCTCGGGGCGGTGGACTGCAGGTGCTTTTGCAGAACAGCCGGGACCTGGGGAGGGAACCGCACGTACAGGAATGTGGGTCCGTGGTCCGAGGAGCTCTGGGCGGAGACCAGCACTGCCCTGTGAAGGCAGCGGGTGGTTGGTGGTGTCTTTGGGTCAGAAAGTGGCCTGTGCCAAGGACTACTGTTCAGCGCCGTGAGCGGGTCGTGCTGTGGGGCGGGCGGCGAGTAGGCCTGACTCTGCGGAGGGGGTCACTCCTCTGAGAGTGCAGCAGTCTGTGAACGTGCTCCTACACAGGCCAGTTCCTTCTGCCGTGCTGTCAGGGCAGCCATGTGAGCGCGCTCAGAAGAAAAAGTGCCAGGAAGGACCGTCCTCCTCTGCCCGCAGCCTGGCCGCCTCGGGGGCGCGGGTGCAGGCGCCGGGCCTGCCTCTCCCGTTCCCATCGTGCTGAGCGCAGCACCGTGTCCGCCTCCGCCTGCGCCCGTTTTAAGCAGCTTAGCCTGAGCCACGGGTTTTCAGTTTACAGAAAGGATTTCATAACAATGTGATTTTTGCCACAACTGTGATTTTTAACATTCTGACGTCTGTGAGCCTGTTGCAGTTGAGAGCGGGCTTAGAGTTAGAAGAACAACTGTCACAGCGGGGTGCAGCTCTGCTGAGAGGAGGAAGGGTGGCTGCCAGTGCTGAGACAGCGCCATCCTGCCCGTCTGCCTTCCAGACAATAACTCTTTACCAGACACGGTGGAGACGGCAGCTACAGCGAGGACATGGCTTAATAGTGGTGAACAGTGTGAACACTCTTTAAGATAAGGAGGTGGGAACTGGGTGTGAGTTCACACTGCCTGGTCCTCTGGGTGGCACCTCTCCCTGCTGCACAGGCTCCGGGCTGTGCCGCTCTGTGTTGGCGGCTGAGCCCTGTGCATCGGGCACCGCCCCGCTCGGGGCGGAGGGCGCGGCAGCCCAGAGCGCTGAGCTCCGCTAACCCGGGCAGGGAGGCCGTGGGGGGGTGGTAAGGGAAGCACCGACTGCAGCCTGCGGAGGAGGCCGCTGCCGGGCGCCGGGTGGGGTGGACGCGATCACTGAGCCTGGGGCCCCAGGGGCAAGGCAGACTCTCCCTCCTCCCCACGGCGCCTTCTGACCGATCTCGCCGGAGCTGGTAGCCTGTGGGGACGAGAGAAGCCTAATCAGGACACCTGAGAAAATGACACCTCACCTTCTGGCTAATCTAACAACCTTTCCTCCGAGCCCTTAAACATTAATGAAGAAGAGAACCCCACGGGCTGGTGAGGACCGGCTCCTGCGCGGAGGTGGGTCCCGGTGTGGCGCCCGCGGCGGGAAGTCAGTTCTGAGGGAAAGGCGCCGCTCCGAGGCCGCCCCGCGTTCAGTGGCCATCAGCGAGCTGAGCTTGTCCCGGAGTGACTGCCGGCAGGGGCTGGCGGGTACTCCGAACCCAGCGCAGGGCTGTGGAGAGGAAATGAGATGCTGTCTGCCCCTCCGGCAGTCTGTTGTGTTCAATTGCTTTAGGTTTCCTTCGGTTTACATTCCATTCTTAACCCCAAAGGGGCCACCAAACTCCCAGTGAGGCACTTGGAACCTGGAGATGGGCTCTAAAAGGCACAGTCACGGCAGCGCCGTTCCCGTTCATCAGCCGCATGCCAGCCAGAGCGGACTGAAGAGCATAAACACTGGTCCTGGAACAATGACCTACTGAATGGCTTACCATCTGTGCGTTACCTGTGAGGGAACATCTGACAGTCCCGTACACCACTCTGGGCTTGAGGTCCCACTTAGGTCAAAATCTTCAGTCTTTGTGATTCCTCGACCCGGCCTCCCTCTGCCGTCCGGCAGGAAGCCGGGTGCTCAGGGCACAGCTGCATGAGGGGCCCGGGCCAGGGCATGGTGTTGGTTTAGCAGTTAGGCGGTTGGGGTAGTAACTGGTAAAAGAAACACAGTATGTGGTGCATGTTGTACATGTCAGGTCTGTGTTTATTGTTCCGGGGTCTGAAAACTTTCAAACTGGTTTATAACCAGAAGGTTGGTGGTTACAGTTAGTAAAATGTCAGTCGGTACATCTAAGTAAAGAAAGAGAGCTGCCTGTTTGCCATGTGTGTAAGAGCATTGGAGGGTGAGGGGAGCTGTTATAAGGTAAAGCGAGTGCCTGGGGCGACCCCAGTGTGACTCCTCAGAGAGCTTAGTCGCGTCTTCATACTCGCCCCGCCTGTATTTCAAGGACTCTGTCTTCCGTCCTGTCCAGTGAACGTGGTAGGGGTGAGCTCTGTTTGCTCAGCTGCAGGGTGTGGTCTCCAAACAGCGGAAGGTCTATTTAAGGCGACTCCTCACTAGGGTCACCACTCCATCATCCACCCTCAGCGTCAGAGAGGCTGAAATCCCTGGCACATTCCAGTCTAGACCGATGAGGCCGCACGCTCCCGAGCCCTGTGGCTAGTGTATCATCTCCCTGCAGTCAAGCTCCACAGGTGTTCCCGGACCCTGCGGACGGAGGCCATGTGCCCAGGATGTACGGAGTTCCACTTTGCAAAGGACAGAGTCCTGGCCGCTTCCCATGGTGCTCATCCATGCAACAGGCTCAATGGCCGAATATGGTCAGGTCTACAGAACAGGTGCAGGGGCTCCGTCTAGACTGTTCTGGTCTCACCAGAACGCCGCCGCTGTCCCTCGGCCTCCCGCTCGCGCTGCTCGCACTGTACCAGCTCAGGCAGGGAGCTCCGGACGCGTGCAGGGGCGGGGAGTGGACCGGGGAGTGGCTGAGCACTCGCGTTGGGGAGATTGGCAGAAATGAGCTCGCAGAGCTGGGAATCCAAGGAGCGGCGCTGTACGGGAGGAGGTCCGTTAACCTGGGCCTGGTGCTGCTTGATGAGGTCTGCAGCCCGACCCAGGCGCCCTCCAGGGCCGACGCTCCGCCATGGGATATGGCCTCGTTCTCTCTTTCCTTTGGTCCCGAACAGCCCTGCTCGGTGTGGCATGGAAACA